TTTCCTGGATGTCCCTGTGTAGACAAGCTCTCAGTCTGAGCTCACATTTCCAGGTATCTCTAACCTCCCATACTGGAAAACATACAGAAACTACTAAGATTCATAAAAACCAAGTTAAATAGCAGCAGTGTGGCTTTTCATCCCAGAGTCAGATATTAAACATAGACTCCCCCAAACCTGGCTAGTGTGCTTGAATGGGGAAGAAGTATTGTGTGGGGACAAAATTTTCCAAGGCTTAATGGTATCCTCTAGCGAGATGAATTATCCAGATAAGCGTTGGGTAACGATACAGACTTCAGGAGGCATATCCAAACTGAGTCCAAATTTGGAGGTTCTGCAATCACAAATTAGTGTCTGCAGTGCAGAAACTGGCTAAACAGGTGTAAATTGTGGGGTGAGGAGTGATGTACCTCATTCTGAAAGTTACAAGTAAGCAGGGAAACATGGCCTCTAAATCACAAAGCAAAACTATCTAAAACTGGTAAAAACAAAATGTCAAGCCTGATTTTGGTAAAACTAAAACTGCCCTGATTTGGCTCATCTTTTCATGTAGTGCTTAATCTCTAGGTCTGAGCTAAATATGGTTTTAATTATATCTGTGCAAATGGCTAGTGTGGCTGCAGTTACACTGTTTAAAGATGCCCATGGCACTATACAGCTAGCTATAAACACCTTTAAGTTGTAACTATATTCACACTGTTTTTAAACAGATATAGTTAAATCAGTATTAAACTGTGTACACTAACCCCTCCATTTGCAGCTTTCATTATCTTGAAGAATTGATCTTTGGTTAACAGCTTCCTGCTTAGACGATATGTTCTACCCCAAACTAATGTTTTTTGTTACTTGCCTTGGTGTTGGTCTAGTATCTGGTCTCAGTTTAATCCTTTCCTTGTGCATTGTTGTGTGTTGCCACTTCTCTTTATTCAGACATATTTATTATCTGAATTCCCCTTTCTAGAAATTAGCACTCTTGTTCAGCCTAGGCTGTCAGGGTTAGTCTGCCTGTTATGGTAGGGGAGTATCTTCCCTTGATTAACGTCTTCGTGACTTTCACCACGCCCGCTGTCAGTGTACTTTTTGATATAACTGTCACATAGCTACAATTCCATGCCCTAGAAGGGCCTCCTGCTGCCTGGTCAGTCCTCTTGTACTTGTGAATTTTGGCTTCCACTATGTGGACTGGCTTTCTTTTCAGCTAGTTAGATATTCCCCTTCCTCTCTAATGATCGATCTGTGTGTGACAGAACATATAATATTCAAAGGTCTTACAGAAGAACACTAGAGCAGCTCCAAATCTGACTGCTGTAAGGGAGGGGTTACTGTATGAATACAAGGGATTAATTCAAGAGGGGTTGGCAACAGTTACGCAATAAAAAGGACAATAGCTTTCCATGCAGGCAGGAGAATAGTAGACCCATTTGGTGTGTCCCATCACTGACCCCCTATTGAGCTCAGCGGACTAGCTTCTTAAGATGAATTCCAGTTTAACACAGGAGAACTAAAAGTCCTGGAAGCTGAGACAAAACTTTGTGGGAAGGGGGGATAAAAGGAGAGGGGGTGAATGGTTGTGGAGAGTTGCTGAGAAGTGGCTCTCACAGACCCTAGAAGTCAAGGGTCTTGAGTAAAGAGGGACTTGCCTAGAATCTGTGCTGAGGGATAGCAAGCCTCCAGGTAAGATAGATAAGCATATTTACCATCATAAGAATGAAAGAAAATAGACTTCTCCAAACAAAGCATTGTCTATCTGGTCACTGTTTACCACTGGTCACAGGTTCCAAACCTAGTTGGGCCTACAGAGTAGGCATGGCTGATAGATTGTGCCCTGGGTTACAGTCCCCTGTGGGAGAATCACAAGATTGCACCCTAGACAAGGTAAGGGCATGAGACCCTAGCACTTGAGGGGCTGTATTCAGACCAGAGAGGGGTCAAAGGTTAAAATAGCCTTGTAAGTGACCAACAGTGCAAACTGTGTATATATGATAAGCAAGTCTACCTCTTCCTTTTCCTCTCTGGGGTCTTATGGCATATCACAAGTGTATTGTATAGTGGAATGTATTTGAGACCATTTTTTATTTCAGAAGGTGGAGGAAGCTACTAGGGGAGAGGCTGTTCTAGATTTGGTTTTGACAAATAGGGAGGAACTGGTTGAGAATTTGAAAGTGGAAGGTAGCTTAGGTGAAAGTGATCATGAAATGGTAGAGTTCATGATTCTAAGGCAGGGGTCGGCAACCTTTCAGAAGTGGTGTGCCGAGTCTTCATTTATTCACTTTAATTTAAGGTTTCGCGTGCCAGTAATACATTTTAACGTTTTTTTAGAAGGGGTCTCTCTCTAAGTGTATATTATAGAACTAAACTATTCTTGTATGTAAAGTAAACAAGGTTTTCAAAATGTTTAAGAAGCTTCATTTAAAATTAAATTAAAATGCTGATCTTACGCTGCCAGCCTGCTCAGCCCGCTGGGTGGGGGGTTCAGGGCAGAGGGCTGGGTGTTGGGGGGACTCGAGGTCAGGGCAGAAGGCTGGGTGTGGGGGGGTTCAGGGCAGAGGGCTGGGTGGGGGGGAACTCAAGGTCAGGGCAAAGGGCTGGGGTGTGTGTGTAGGTGCAGGGCACAAGGCTGGGTGGGGGGGTTCAGGGCTGAGGGCTGGGGTGTGTGTGGAGGTGCAGGGCAGAAGGCTGGGTGTTGGGGGGGACTCGAGGTCAGGGCAGAGGGCTGGGGCTGTGGGGGTGCAGGGCAGAGGGATGGGTGTGTGTTGGGGTGGGGAGGTGCAGGGCAGAAAGCTGGGGTGCTCGGCTCGTGGAGGTGCTCCCAGCCCCCTGCCCTGAGCGGGCATTATTAAGGTCACGAGAGCAAACTATCCCACTGTGTAGGAAAGATAGGAACTATGGCAAAAGACCACCCTGGCTTAACTAGGAGATCTGCAATGATCTGAAACTCAAAAGAGAGTCCTACAAAAAATGGAAACTAGATCAAATTACAAAGGATGAATATAAACAAATATATTACAAATATGTAGGGACAAAATTAGAAAAGCCAAGGCACAAAATGAGATCAAACTAGCTAGAGATATAAAGGGTAACAACATTCTATAAATACATTAGAAACAAGAGGAAGACCAAGGACAGAGTTGGCCCATTACTTAATGGACGGGGGAGGAACAATTACAGAAAACGTGGAACTGGCAGACGTGTTAAATGACTTTTTTGTTTCCGTTTTCATCAAAAAGATTAGTAGCAATTGGACATCTAACATAGTGAAAGCCAGTGAAAATGAGGTAGCAGCAGAGGCTAAAATAGGGAAAGAACAAGTTTAAAAATTACTTAGACAAGCTAGATGTCTTCAAGTCACCAGGGCCTGATGAAATACATCCTAGAATATTCAAGGAGCACACTGAGGAGGTATCTGAGCCATTAGCAATTATCTTCAAAAAGTCATGGAAGATGGGAGAGATGCCAGAGGACTGCAAAATGGCACTAATATTTGCCCATCTATAAAATGGGGAATAATGACAACCCAAGGAATTAGACCAGTCAGCTTAACTTCAGTATCTGGAAAGATAATGGAACAAATAATTAAGCAATAATTTGCAAACGCCTAGAATATAATGTGATAAGTAACAGCATGGATTTGTCAAGAACAAATCACATCAAACCAGCCTAATAGCTTTCTTTGAGAGGGTAACAAGCCTTGTGGATGGGGCAAAGTGGTAGATATGGTATATCTTGACTTTAGTAAGGCTTTTGATACTGTCTCGCATGACCGTTTCATAAACAAACTAGGGAAATACGACCTAGATGGAGCTACTATAAGGTGGGGTGCATACCTGGTTGGAAAACCATTCCCAGAGAGTAGTTATCAGTGGTTCGCAGTCAAGCTGGAAGGGCATATCAAGTGGAGTCCCTCAGGGATCAGTTCTGGGTCCGGTTCTGTTCAGTATCTTAATCAATGATTTAGATAATGGCATAGAGAGTGCACTTATAAAGCTTGCGGATGATACCAAGCTGGGAGGGGTTGCAAGTGCTTTGGAGGATAGGATTAAAATTCAAAATGATCTGGACAAACAGTCTGAAGTAAACAGAATGAAATTCAGTAAGGAAAAATGCAAAGTACTCCATGTAGGAAGGAACAATCAGTTGCACGCATACAAAATGGGAAATGACTGCCTAGGAAAGAGTACTGCAAAAAGAGATCTGGGAGTCCTAATGGATCACAAGCTGAATATGAGTCAACAGTGTAACACTGTTTCACAAAAAAAAATAGGACTGTCGACTTAATCTCAGTTAACTCACATGATTAACTAAAAAAATTAATTGCAATTAATCGCGATTTTAATCGCACTGTTAAACAATAGAATACCAGTTGAAATTTATTAAATATTTTGGATGTCTTTCTACATTTTTCATATATGTAATTGAAATCAGTGTAAATTATTTTTGATTATCATTTTTACAGTGCAAATATTTGTTACCAAAATAAATTGTATTTTTCAATTCACCTCATACAAGTTAGAACAAATAAATTTAACACGTACTTCATGTGCAGTCTGAGTAGGGGAAGAACAAGAAATTGTTCATTTAAAATGAAACTCTGAAATATAGATTTTTATTAACTAGCACTAGTTTCTGGTTGGCTGAGCCAGTAGTTTTAATATGACACTGGTGCTGAGTTTTAAACAAGAGCTAAAATGGATTAACTTTAACTAAAAACTGACAACTTCAATTGTGTTAGTGGATTTCAGTATCTTTCCTATCTTCTTTTCTCCCCTTTCTTTCTCTCCCTCCCCCCCCCACCTCTCAAAAGATCCAGGATCCTTTAATCCATCTCTAGATATGGCGTATCGGCAGTCTTGAGGTACTAGTAGTTACCAGACGGCTGCTGTCATCAGAACAAAGTAACCTACTTAGGTTTCAGAGTTTTGTATGAGGAAGAAGGTGTCTGTTAGTCTGTGAAGTCTATCATTGAAGTTTATATTCATTAACATGCACCTGCTCTCTTGCAGATTCAGAATCTGAAAAATCATTAAGTGGATTTGAAACAGTAACAACGTACTCATTAGAGGACAGTGTGGAGTCAAACAATACAATAACCTCCAGCATGTCCGAAGAAAAGGTCTGTGGTGGAGGTGGAAAGGTCTGTGGTGGTGGAGAGTCTCTGTCTAACGGCATCAAAAAACACAGGTAGGATGTTGCCTATTCTTTTTAAAGATATACTGTAAACTTTATTGCCATGTAGGCAAAAACCATGAGACTCCTGTGAAAGATAATTGTAGATATTTTTCCCTTGGGTATGAGAACTGAAAAGCAGATAGGATTCCTTATTAAAAGCACAGAGTGACTTTCTCCTACATTAACAGACTGTCACCATTGTCAAGTAAACTATTATATACCATTCCATTTTGACTAATAAGCAAGGGTATACATTTTTTATATATATGTAGATAGCGAATGCTTTAAAATGGACATGTTTTAACTCATTTAAACAAGTCTTGCTGAAATCGATGCTGGCTCTTATTTCTTATTTCATCATGTATTTTTAATGATTTGTGTATCCTATTGCTTTTTAAGTTTCCAGTCACTCGATCTCCCTAGTTGTATTAAGAATGAATGGCAATATTGCTAGCTTGACATCACAATAAACCTAAGTCTAAACACAACAGTTTTATTTTAAAACTTATGTACATTGCATAGGTTCATTTTATGCTGTCAAATTAATCCATTTTTGTTTGTTCATGTCTTTGCTGGTAAAGGAGGACAATAGGTCCAGAGTTAATGAGATGTAATAGATACCACTATTCTCAAGTTTCAGTGCAGAGGCAATTTAATGTGTACATTACAGTCTAGTCCCAACATTGACATGTTTTTAAAGTACCAATCTATAACTGGCCCTTTGGAAATAAGCAAGATCACAATTACTAACAGATGAGCAAAAATGCTATTTTAATGCCTGCCTTAAAAAGTATTATCCCAAGTGCATTAAGAGGTACCTTAGTTACTGGACATCTGCATTTTATAACTAAATCTCAGAGGCCATTGCAGTGCATGGTAATGTAGGAGACTTGATGTCAGGTTCCACCTTTAAACATCAGCTCCTCCCAAACCAAGCAAAGACCAAGGAGTGATGAGTACTAGGGTCAGGCAAAGATGCTGACTGACTATATTGTTCCTTTAAGACCCCTTACTGATAAAGTATTATTGGTGATCTCTTCTCTACACCTTCCCAGTTACAGGTGAAAGTCCTGTAGTGGCAGCTGGAGGCAGGGAGGAAAATGCTAGGTGAAAGTGGATGTTTCAGAATGGAGACTTGTAATCCCCCTTTGTTGCCTGAGAAATTGGGAAAGGAAAGTGAAGATCCTCTGTAAAAATGAAAGCTGTATTTGTTTGCTACAGAATATAAATACAATCCATTGGAAAAGTTTAAATGAAAGCCAGTTTTCTCAAAGTACAGGAAACAATAGCTTTGCTAGTTTCCACAAGTCTTGTTATAAAATTACATTGTCAGAATTGTAAACAAGAGGTGACTAGAGCCTCTAAGCTCCATTATTCATTCTTCAGTCCCCTGACGCTACTCCACTTACCACCTACAAATGTCTCTCATTAGACTTTTTGATCACTAGGCTCCCTTTCCTTCCCTTAGCTGCATGTCTTGCCCTGTATCCTTTTAATGTTTAGTGCTCTTTCTAAAACTGGTACAGCTGTGACCATTTTTGTAACAATTTCTAATTTGCTGTGGCACATTGCTTGAAGAAAGGCTCAGATAACGAATATATCTTGTATATTGCATAGTAACATCAGCTCTTTACCTGGCACCTTGGCGACGCTTTGGGATTTGGTGTCTGCAAATATAGTGATGCAAATCAGTTTCCCCCGCAGAGCTCTGCCAATCTAAATTTTACCTAGAAGAGAACTTTCCATGGGGGAAGAAGTTGTTCAGTGTTTTGATCTCTGTCTTGGGATTCTTGGTCAATGCTAATGCGTTTAGCTGCATGACATACCATATATACTCGTTCATTAGCCCGTTGGTTTATAAGCTGACCCGCCAAGATGGTTAGGTAAAAATAGCAAAAACGGTATGACCCTTTCATAAGCCGACCCTATATTTCAGAGGTTGGCAAACTTTGGCTCCCGGCCGTCAGGGTAAGCCGCTGGTGGGTCGGGACGTTTTGTTTGCCTGGAGCGTCTGCAGGCATGGCGCCC